GCAGGAGGCAGCGTGCGGCGGCTGGGGCTGTGCGGGAGGAGAAAGCGCCCGCAGTCCCCTGCCTCCCTAAGCCCGCCGTCCTAGCCTCGGGCTAGCCATCTCCTTGACGCCTCCCTGCCAGTTTTTATGCGCTTGATTATCTCAAAGCAAAAAAGCATGAAAGCGCCTGTGGTGCGGCGTGTTCCAGAAGCATCGCTGTGGACCAAAAGCGACCAAAGCTCTGTTTTCAAACCCTCCAGAGCACCTTTCGAAGCCTGGAGCGAGAGAGATGCTCTTGATTGCTTTTAGGATGAACAGTGGTGATCGGATCTAGGGTCTTTTGTTAACTGCTTTCAGGGAAAGGGGGATTCCAAGATTTTTATGTTATTAACTCCGTGAAAACATATGGTCAGATTTTTAATCGTTTCAGGTTGCGGCTCTATGAAAGCAATCGCACTCCTCTGATTGAAAATCTTTCTTTTATGAATCTGTTCAGTTGAACCTGTCATTGCTGTCTTCTCCCATCTGAAGCGCTCTGGGCTTTGTCCGCCCTCCAGGACTCTGTATTCATTGCCTTGGTCCCTGACATCTCGCCAGAGCCTTTCCACAGCCGGATTTGAGTTTGAGGCCTCTCGGAAAGACCCTTTTGTTCATCCTCGGATTCTGGCACACACAGCTGGGAGAGGAACGCTAATTTTGCGTGGATCGAGGGGAAAACAGTTACCAATCAGTTGATGTCGCTCTGGGTTGGGAAAATATTAGTCATTTAGATGTGGAGCCCTGGCCACGCTCAGCCTCGCTGGCTGTTAATATCTCTCCCAGATGCCAGCACGTGGAAGGAAGCAGCTCCCAACATCCCTGTTAGGCACCCTGCTGGCTGACTGGCTCTCCAAATAGCCATTTTCTCTCAGTAATTGTCAGAGGTCCTTGCTTTGAGCCACGTTTGTAGTCTGCCTCTCACCTCTCCCCCCTGGTCCCCAAAAGATCACCTTCTATTTTCATTTCAAAGATCCAGCCAAGAAGTCATATTCACAAGCAATGCCGCAAAAATTTTCAGGAACTGAAAAGTGCTATGATTTATGGCTATGACCAAACTTTAGCGTTCCCAGGACTCTCCCTGGGAGCCAGTTGCTGCAGCTTCAGGGGGCGGAGGACCTCTGCGGTGGCAGTCAGAATTCCTCTCTGCAGAGGGACGCTGGGATGAGTGAGATGTGGATGTTTCATGAACCATGCTTTATTTAAAGGATCCCACTTGGCCGTCTTTCTGCTTTGATATAAGATATTGTAGCCATTTAAAAAGCTCAGTGTGGGTACAGGGATGAGATTGCCGACAAGAGACTTCAAATATGTCACAGAAGTAGTTGTTACACAGAAGTCGAAAAGCAAGAACTTTGATCCCAGCCTGGCACTGTGGACTATGTAAGGGAAATGGTAGATACATCTTTTTCCCTTAGAAAGGCCATTAGGTTAAACATAATAGCAGAAGGCTCAGAATGAAAAAAAAAAATGTAACTTGCTTGAAAGACAACAGGAATCTTATGAATACTCCCTCGAGAACATCCTTGAAAGACCACAGAAGGATGAATGAATAGTTTTAAAAAATCTAATTCACTTTATTTGCGATCTTTGTCTATTTTGATAATATTGTGTGTGGTCTGATGACACGTCAATACTTTGGACAGCATTATGTAATACAATATAATATTTGATATCACAAATAGTATTTGCAAAAACCAGTGTCCGGGAATAACAACTCATCTGTACAGGCTTTATTCTTAATCTTGCATTATGAGGTTTTAGAGGCAAAAATTCTTTCTAAACCTCAAATTTCTGTCACATGTCTAGCAGAATAGCTTTTAGTCTAGGACTCTCATATTTCTAGTAACAATCCATGTTACATCAATGCAATTTACTTTAGCATTTTCTTTTTTCTTGTTTTTTTTTTTGAGACAGAGCCTCAAGCCGTCCCCCTAGATAGAGTGCTGTGACATCATAGCTCACAGCAACCTCTAACTCCTGGGTTCAAGCGAGTCTCCTGCCTCAGCCTCCCAAGTAGCTAGGACCACAGGCGCCTGCCACAACGCCTGGCTTTTTTTTTTTTTTGGTTGCAGCCATCATTGTTGTTTGGCGGTTGTGGGCTGGATTCGAACCTGCTACCTTAGGTGTAGCCACTTGAGCCACAGGCGCCGAGCCTACTTCAGCATTTTCATCTGTAAAAGGGGGCCCTACATTTCTTTTTGACTGCATATGATAATATTAACATGAAATAATATGCAAGAGAGTTCTTTGGACAATGCTATAAAACTGTAAGGTATTACTAATCTGAGATGCTGTGGAAATATGTGACCAAATATTTGTAAAATTATGCCATGTGAAAATGACAGGGAATTACCTCAGGTGACTAATCCAGGGTACTTATACTTCAAGGGCAATCTGGGACTGGTATGAGAATGGATACAGAAAAATGATTCCGTTATTAAAATAATGGGATTTCCCATTAAAAGTTTTTTTAACTCCAATTGTTCATTTTCTAATACCCTTTTGAAGGAGCCGAAAGAATAAAAATGTGCACTTTGCAAAGTTAAATACCATTCAGCACACTTGGATTTTTCTGTCATTCTCTTTACACTTTCTAGATGTAGGTTTTCTGCATTTTATTTTTTTTAATGTTTCTGTTGTGTTTATTCCAATTTCTTTCCAAGTTTTATTTCATTTTATTATTATTATTAATTTTTGGAGATAGAATCTGAGTCTGTCACCCTTACTAGAGTGCTCACTGCATTATAGCTCACTGAAGCCTCAAATTCCTGGACTTAAGCAATTCTTCTACCTCAGCTTCCCAAGTCCCAGGGACCACAGGTATGAGCCATTGCACATGGCTTATTTTTTCTATTTTCAGTAGAGATGAGGTTTCGCTCTTGTTCAGGCTGTTTTCAAACTTCTGACCTCCAGAGATTCTCCTGCCTTGGCCTCCCAGGGTGCTGGGATTATAGTTGTGAGCTGCCACCACACCAGGCTATTTTATTTTATTTTATTTATTTTTTTGAGACAGAGTCTCATTATGTCACCCTCAGTAAAGTGCTGTGGTGTCACAGCTCACAGCAACCTCACACTCTTGGGATGAAGCAATTCTCTTCCCTCAGCCTCCCAAATAGCTGGGACTACAGGTGCCTGCCACAATGCCTGGCTACTTTTTTGTTGTTATTGTTGTTGTTGTAGTTGTCATTGTTTAGCAGGCCTGGGCTGGGCTTGAACCTGCCAGGCCCAATGTATGTGGCCAGCACCCTAACCACTGGCTTTGAGCCCCAAGCCAGGCCCATTTTATATTTAATTAACATAACAGTTGCACATATTCATAGGGTACAGTATGATGTTTCAATATGTGTACACATTGTATAATGATCAAATCAAAGTAAGTGACATATCCGTCATTCAAAATCCTTTGTTATGCTGTTTTGAAATATTCAGCCTATTATTCTTAATTGTATCATCTTCCTCTGAGATAAAGGACCAGAACTTATTCCTCCTATCTAACTATAGCATAATACTCACATGCAAAGACCAGTATCCGGGAATAACACCTCATCTGTACAGGCTTTATTTTTAATCTTGCATCATCTAGCCTCTGGTAACCAGTATTCTACTCTTTATTTCTATAGGATCAAGTTTTTTAGATTCCATATATGAGTGACATCACGTGGTGTTTGTGCTTCGGTGCCCGGCTTAACGTAACGTCCTTTAGGTTCATCCATGTTGTTGCAATGACAGGATTTCATTCTTTTTCATGGCTCAATAATATTCCACTCTACTGAGGGTGACATAATGAGACTCTGTCTCAAAAAATGTGTAAATCACATTTTTAAAATCCATTCATCCATCGATGGAAGCTTAGATTGATTCCTTATCTTGGCTGTGATGAATAGTGTTTCAATAAACATGGACGTGCAGATATCTCCTTACCATATTGGTTTTAATTCCTTTGGATATGTGCCTGGTAATGGGGTTGCTGGACCATATGGTAGTTCTATTTTTAATTTTTTGAGGAACCTCAATGTTGTTCTCCATTAATGGCTGAACTAATTTGCATTCTCACCATCAATGTCTAAGGGCTTACCTTTCCCCACATCCTCACCAGCATTTGTTATTTTTTGTCTTTTTGTCATGGCCATTCTAATTGGGATGAGATGATATCTCATTGTGATTTTGATTGACATTTCGCTGATGATTAGTAATGTTGACTTTTCTTTTTATTAAATCATAGCTGTGTACATTAATGCATCATCGGGTACAATGTGCTGGTTTTACATACAATTTGAAATGCTTTCATCAAACTGGTTAACATAGCCTTCACGGCATTTTCTTAGTTATTATGTTAAGACATTTATATTCCACACCTAGTAAACTTCACATGACTATTTTTTTTCATACACCTGTTGGCCATTTGTATGACTTCTTTTGGGAAATGTCTATTCCAGTCTTTTTTAGTTGAATTGTTTACTTTTTGTGATTTGAGTTGAGTTCCTTATATAGTCTGGATATTAACCCCTTGTCAGATGCATACTTTGCCAGTATTTTCTCCCATTCTGTAGGTTGTCGCTGTACTTTGTTGATTGTTTCTTTTCCTGTGTTGAAGCTTTTTACTTTGGTGTAATCTCATTTATTTATTTTTGCTTTTTTTTTTCATTGATTCAAGGTTTTTATTTTTATTCAACTATATGCAAACAGCAGAATTAACAAAACT